AGGGTATTCCTGGAGCATCAGAGAAAGCAGCATATATTAGAGCATTTTATGGGTTTGGAAAATAGGCTGACTGGCTTCTTCCTAGTACTGTAACCTCAAAGCTACGGAAAACTCTACTAAGCTCTGCTTCGCATCCTTTCATGCTTTGTTTGCGCGAATACCAGTGCTCCTTTCTACGCACTGTTGCCAGCGATTTTATGTATGCCAATACAAACACCAACGTGAGCTTGGACTCTTCTCCAGGCACCTGGGAAAGTGCACTGAGCTGAGACAACACCAACCTGGCCATCCCCCCGGTACACCTTGAACTGTATTCCTTTCCTGTTTGTTTTTTAAAGTTGAAATCCGCATCTTGGATTCATCCGCTTGGAAAGCCTCCGACCTGCCATGCACGCTGTGGCATCCGTCTGGCTCGTAGGTGCTGCCCCGTCGCTCGAGGGTGACGTGGGAGCCAAGGATTGCGAGACGGGAGCTGCGGCGAGGCGAGGGGCGGCAGCCCTGGGCGCGCGTTACGTGGTCTCTGATGCCCGAGGGGCGGCTATACAAGCTGCTCCAGAATTACTCCTCCTTTCCCAGAGGCGTGTAGCCTTTGTCGGGAGTGCATCTTGACAGACCTGCGCTGGAAAATGGCTGCTCTCATTTGCTGGGTTTGCACTAACTGAGTCCTGGGGATGGGCAGGTCTCTGACAGCAGAAGCCCTCCGCGTGGCCTGAGCACCCGTGTTCGCGGCGCTCGGTGGCAGACTCCGGCTAGAAAGATGCAAACGGTTTCCTCGGCCAGAGGCAGCCTGGTTCTGACAAAAGCTCATTTTTAGTACTGCCAGGGCCTGCTCGCACTGGTTACGGTGGCAGTTCCAGCATCTTTCTAGAAAGGGACGTCCTGAAGCACAATGAGCCTGTTCTATGCCAACATAGTTTCCCTGGCCATCTGTAGACCAAACCAAGAGAAGTATGTGGGGGGAGAGAGACAGTATTGTACTCGAGGATGTGCGTGCAGCACAGCTGTTACTCAGACCATAGCTGCCTCTGGTGCCAAGCAAAGTGCTCTTCATTCTTCTAGAACTAAGTGGTAAGTGTGTGGGTTGGGTAGCTGGGTGTGGGGATATGGACTCTTAGGATTTGCTGTTGTCGTAGGCTTCCACGAATCGGTGTGTTTCACAGACAGTTTTCCTTCAGGTTTAAAAGTACGAGTCTGATGTCTGAACTTACTTGGATTAACCTTTGTTTCTGTCTCTTCTTTTTGCTTTGGGCTGCCATCATTCTATGAATGTATCCCTGAAAAAAATTCTTAAAAGCTCCTATTCCACAGCAAACCTGCCTCATTGTAACTTCCAATAAAACGTTTTGTGGGAGGTGGAAGAGAGAGTAACCACGAATCTAAGACTCCCTTTTCCCAGGCTGTTAATCCTGGAAAACAGTTGTTGAACCTTGAATACAAGGTGTAATCTAAATCTCACAGAAAGCTGTGTTCCCTGTACACGGACGAGGGCAGTGAAGGTCAGCAGTTCCGGATGACAACCAGTTGTATTTGATTAGTAGGTCGTGCTGAACTGGGAGAAGAACGCTGTACCTGAGCGCTGTACCCAGAGACACCGCACCTGTGTGCAGTACGGGCTCACTGCAGAGAGCCCCAGTTGCTGTGGTTGTTGCTGCGGCAGGACCTCCTCTTAGCTTGCAAATAACAGCTTATGAACAACGAAATTTTTAGAAGTTGGGAGTCTCAGTGGGGGGAAAAAAAACAACCCACCAGCACTTCCTGTTCTGGATGAAGATCTAGCAAGGAAAATGTATATGATTGACAACTTTAGAGTGTAAATTGTGGGTATACGAGTTATTCCGGAATCTCTGCTACTGGTTTTGTCATACCTCAGTTGAACGATGAAGATATTGCCTACAAAAAGACTCCTGGTAGAGGAGACCGTGGTACGGGGGGAAAAAGAATCATCCAGGAGAGAGTTCCCTCATTTTGGGGAGGGGGAAGGGAGAGGTTTTATTTTGTGTACACAGAAACTGGCTGAGTTTACATGATGCAGCTAATGGTTAAACCCACCACCTAAATATGACACACTGTTAAAATTGAAACAAACTTCTGTGATATTTCATTAAATCTTGATGGTGCCCTGTGTCTAGTGAAAATCTGATCCCCCAAATGGTTTTATGCTCCCCCGTGTTGTAATCCAGGGTCAGCTGCTATGCACAAAGTCTGTGTTGTGTGAAGCATCTGCTGACTTGGATGTTTCTTTTGAATCTGCAACTGCTTCCTGGTTAATTTGGCCAAGACCAGCCCGGTCTCTCGGGTTACCGTTTAGTGGGAGGTGTGCTGTGTGCAGTTTACAGATGCATTCTCGATGTTATGAGTTAAGTTGCAGGGGGAGCAAATTCTTCACAATAAAACGGTCCATTTTTAATCTGTACCATTGCCCTTGTTGTACATCAGGAGCATGTTTTTGTTTTTCTCAAACTCTTTAGAAATACCGTTCAGAATAAACGTGCACTATTTGAGTTACGTCATTTACAACTTGTCATGTGCATTTTTTTTGCAGTCCAGCTGTTTCCCTCTGAAATCAGATACAGAATATTCCTCGGGTGCTTCCTGAACTGTGTGGCTCGGCAGATTTCTGACAGGAATTGAGAGCTGGGCTGCTGTGGGGAATGCCATGGGTGCCGGACAGCTGCGGAGAGTGGGGTCTGTGTGTTTGTTTTCCTTGAAGTTAGGAGCCTTTTCTCAGAAGTCCACCACCTTGTGGGGTGGGGGGGAGGACAGGAAGAACAACTGTCCTGGAATATTTTTGCATCGACTAGTGAACAGTCTTGAGACAAACAGACCAGGCATCAAGAACTCTGTTTTGGGGTTTATAGGTTAAATGTTTTAAAGTATTCAAATTAATTGCTAGCTATTGCAAATCTTGACAACGGTCTTGGAAAAACTGTGGTCTGTACCTGTAAAAGTAGCTAGTCTTAAGATGCAGCGAGTACTCTTCCATACTCACTTGTCTCAGAAAGGTGTTTAAGTAAAACTCATCTCTCTCAACTGTTCCAGTCCCTTCTGGTTTTCATCTGTAGCCGTTTTTCATCTGTAGTTTCTTTCCACTCCTCTCCTGCCTTGAAGTGCCATTTCCAAAGTGATAAAGTTGCACTGTGGGGCAGTTTCTGGGGAAAAGTGTTATCCCAAATACTCTATAGCATATTCTATATTCTGTTGATATAAATATCCTGTCTGCTTATTTAAGTTCTAGATACTGCTCTATCAGTAGGTGGAGTCGCCGCATCCGTCAGGATGGCGTGCAAACAAAGCTCAGGCCCTGAAACTGGGCTGTGGTCTGAAGCTGCTGCTAGCAGCTGTCTTCCCTGACCTCTGCGGGAGGGCCTGGAAGGCACAGCTGGAGATGAACTGCTTCCAGGGGTGCAACCTCCATCACTCCTGCCTCACCAGCAGCTGCAGAAGCTGGAAAACATTTGCTGTACCTGTTGTCCAAACCACTTAGCTTTCAGTGATCCCTGTCATGTTTCTTTCCTTCTCCACCCTCATCCCAGTCACCTCTCTAGCAGGCTGCAAGGTTTTAGGCAATTCAGTTGTACTCCTTTACAGGGAAACTAGCTGATACCCTGACAGTCTGTGTTGCCCATTCCCAAAGTTTGGCTGGTTCTACAGGAAATTCCATTCCCCTCACTGTATTCATTCAGAACTTGGGTATTTAGGGGGTCCTTGTAATAACTCCTGGTGTGCTCTTACCTCTGGTTGTAACAGTTTGCTTTTTTATTACTAAGATGGTTTACTTAAAGAACACTTACGATGCCAGGATCTGATGAGTAGTGGTAAGCCAAGTAATTG